TAATGCAGGGCTGCAAAAAAACCGGGCGGTTCAGTTCAGTGGTTCGCACCAATTAGAAAAAGCTTGTACCGGTTCAAGATCCGGTTCATGAGTATTTCTGAACCGCGGTTCGGTTTGGTTCAAATGTTCAATTTGTTGAATGCCAAAGGATACAAATATTATAAAAATATGATAGATCGTCGTACATATATAAAAATAAAAGGCTTTGTTATTTAGATCAAATTCAAATATCCACGTGTATAGTGGTGGAAAAATAAGCGCGACATTTTCAAAATTTTGGCAATTTTTTATTTAATGATTAATGTTTTAAGTATAGTGCATCTTCCAATAAAAGCCTATCAGCTCCAAGTTTTAAAATTTGTGCAAAAATTGTTCAAAGCTTCATCTAACTTGCAAACGTTTTAATAAGAATTTGTGGAAAAAATTTTAAGTTTAAGTTGATGGCCAAGCCAGCGGAGCCGCTGTATTTTAATTCGCTGCACTATGTCCATGTCATTATTCCATCGTGGTGTGGTACATGCCGTCGCCAACGCGCAAATGCCCGTAATCTTCCGCAAAATCTTTCACTCGAATACTCCAAGAGCCGCTTCTTTGGATGTTGTCATTGTTCATGCTTCTGCGACATATACCAACACGGGCATGATGAGGGACTTATAAGAGTGTGGTTTTCGTACGTCGAGAGAGGAATTTACTCCTGAATTGCCTACTCAGTCCAAAGCAGCACTTGTTGGCAAGAGTGATTCTGTGTTTGATTTCAAGGCTGACATTATTATTGGTGTTAATACTGGTCCCCAAATAAACGAAGTTTTATACTTTTTAAAATTTGTTAAATTTTTAATAAATTAAGGACTTTAATGAAGTAATCTACTTCCGCCTGGCGTCATTTGCAATGACATTGAAAGTAATTGAACTATCTGTTTATTTTTCTTATTTGAAACCGCAATCGTGTCGTTGCTATGTACTATGTGGTACGCCAGTTTCTCTCACTCTGTGTGGCCAGGTCCTTTTGCCCTTGGCTTGTCTATTGTCTTGGTTGGGTTTAGGAGAATTGTCACCCTGACAACATGCAATTAGCAAGTTTTGCCATTTTGATTCCACAACTCGTGCAACCCACAGCCATTTGGCGGCTTTAATGAATTGCAATAAGTCATACAGAGGGAGACGGCTGTATTCTGAAATAGTATTCTTAGCTTCGTCATTCCGAGAGCTGGGCACAGCTGCGACATAACCTGTTGAAGATCAAGCCGTCCTTTCGGCATGTGCTCCTACGGGCCAGTTCCCTATGCAGAGTGCCGTATGTAGTTCTCCCGAAAGCCCGCAAAGTCGTCTCATCTTTATTCGACATCGTCCATGTTACTCAGTTATATAAAAGGACGGACATGGTGAAGGCGTGATTGCCTACTTAGGCTTTTCAATTGCCTACCGAACTCAAACTAGCACCTGTTGGCCAGACTTATTCTTTGGTTGAACTCCAGGCTGATGTTATGTGCGGTCCTTCAAAGTAGTTCCAACAGTTACGTGTATTGAGGCTTGCCAGGAGATACTTACAGCGCTCGTTCTAATATCGACAATCTGCATACGGAAGCAGCATAGTGCGTTTCTTGGATATGATGCCGCTGCAATTAGATGGGCAGCTCGTATTTCCAACTTCAAATTGAAGAAATCGCATGATAATGAATCGCCTTGTTGCCTACAATCTCGTTTGGTTTCGTACGGCTGGGAGAGGTCCTTAAACGGAGCTATAAGATGTTTTCTTTGCTATCCCAAAAGCAGTTTAAAAATCGGCGGTAAGATAGCATGTGTAGAGTTGCTTATGCAAGGTAAAAAAATATGAGGTATATAGAGAAAAATGGGAACTCGATCGAAGATATCAAGTTTGTGTAGGTGACGTGGTTGTTTTTAGGGGGGTGTTAACTCTCGAGAATCTTTTAATACCGGCCGAAACCGATTTTTCATGGGCGAGAAGGAAAAGAGAGTAGTAGTTTATTGGAGCAATTTTAGACGTGGAAAAATTCGGTATTTGTATGTCTCCTTTAGTTTTCGCGTTTTTGAGAAATTGCATCCAATCTTCAATCGCGATTTCCCAAAAACTGCTGTAAGTAACATACAATCTGTTACCTAGGGTACAGGCCCAATAACATCCTTGTAATAGTGAGAGCCAAGTATAATTTTTTCTACTTCGCTTCCCAACTGCGCAGAAGCACATGCCGGTAAAGAAAAGAAGTTCCTATTCTTCGTGTTCTAGCACGATTAATTGCGTTAACATTGCATATGCACATTTTTTATTTTGTTCTATGCGTAAAATTTGACTCAAAATTTTAAAGCCTCTTTGAAATTCTGAGCTATGGCGTTCTTCCAGCAAACGCCATTTCATTTTATTTTTATTACAACGCTTTTCTCAACTTGAAATGTTGTATGTCCAGACCACCTACTATAAATGTAGCAAAGCTATTTATGGCAAATTCTAGATATCAACTTCGTTGTAGGCATCATATCAAAGAATAACAATTAGAAGACTATAGATGCCGCCCCGCCAGAAGAAGTTAAATATTTCGCCTAAATAAATGCACGATTTACATACGCTACAGCGGAAATGGACGGCACGCCATTTCTTTAAATGAAATTAACTGCTGCTATATGATTGTATGCACATATGTTACCCCTATTGCGAGTGTCGGCTCGTACTAGATAAGCGACTCGTACTAGATAAGTCGATTATCGATTATCCGTGGCATTTTAAAAGTCGTTTTCTCGTTCAAAAAGTGAGTGGGAATAGTTTATAGTCGCTCATCCTTCTACAAACAAACAATTGTAGAAGGATGAGCGATTAAAAACTATTCGCATTCGCTTATTGAACGAGAAATCGGCATTTACAATACCATAGAGAAGCTATAATCGAAAAAGTCGTTTATATACCACTAGTCGACACTCGCAATAGCCCAGACGATAATTTAGGTAGGCTTTCTTAAGTAAAGCCATTCTAAGAGGCCTACCCAAGAAGGGTTGAAAAAAGTTCTTCCTTGCATGCTTTCTAGAAGGGCTTATCCATTTACATTTAACGCGAATGCATAAATTTATATTATTTAGCATTAAAAATGAATTTCAATAAACATTTTAAGTTGCAATAACACATGTTTGATATAAACCGCAAACATAAATACTTCAAAGATGTATGATTTTTATAAATTAAAAAGCAACTTTAAAAGAACTCCCTTAAAAGCCCTTCTGAAGTGTGTCCTATAAAAGGCCTTCTGGAAATCCTTCCATGGGTAGCGAAAGAAAAAGCCCTTTAATTTGTGCCAATCCATACAAAAAAGAAAGGAGAAAGGAATGTAGAGTGGAAGGCCTCTTGAATATCAGGAAGGCTTTCGGAAAGGCTTTTAACTCCTGAAATTATCTACTGGGAGGGGTGTGTATGTTTATACTAAACGTGAGCAAACAATAGTTGCGTTCGATAACAAAATTAGCCAACACCAGCCAACAATCAAAATCAAGAGAGTAAGCGAAAATTCTCTCCCAAAGAGATGAAAAAGCAAAAAAGTAAACGAACAGGAAATTAGCCATTACTTGCAAAAACCAGAAGAAGAAGACACACCTGCTGACTTTGTTTATGTTTTATTTATAAACAAATTGAAATTCATGTTGCCTCCATAGAAGAAAAAAGGAAAGTGAACGTTCAATGTTCGCCAGGAACATTTCTAGAAGTAAAAACTAGTTGGCGCTATCATAAAGTCACATAGCAGGCAGCCAAAAAGCATATAAATACCAAAACTCGGAAAATGCAATTT